GTGGGGCTAGGAGGAATAACCCCTCTCTGACACTGGTGTTGTGCAATGCCAGGTCCATAAACAACAAGACCGCAATTTTGCGAGACTTCCTTCTGGAGCAAAATGTGGACCTGGCTTGCATGACAGAGACCTGGATCCAAGAGGAAGAGACCGTAGCGCTCTCCCAATTGGCTCCACCTGGGTTCTCTGTCCTCCACCAGTCACGGACTAAGGGGCGGGGGGAGGAGTGGCTCTATTCATACGGGAGGCTTACTCCTTCAGGGCGCTTCCGCTGTTGAGGCTCACAGGCATACAGTGTGCTGGCTTTGTGTGGGATGTGGAGGACTTGTGGCTAATAGCCACTGATGGACCTCTGCCTAGAAGGAAGTCTTGACAGATACCAGTTTGTTTTGGGTGAGCCCAAACAGCAGTTCCTGATGCTCACTGTAGAGCTGCTTTGTTCAGGCAAGCCAGGTTCCATGACTGTTTACATGTATGTGTAGCTATCCTTGGCTTTTGTTTCACTGGGAATATAATAAGCCACTTTGGTGTAGTGGTTAAGAGTGGTGGACTCTAATTGGGAGAACTGGGTTTGATTCTCCACTCCTCCACATGAAGCCGGCTGGGAGACCTTGGATCAGTCACAGTTCTCTCAGAGCTGTCCTTGCAAGAGCAGCTCTCTCTGAGCTCTCTCAGTCCTACCTACTTCACAGGGGGTCTGTTGTGGGGAGAGGAAGGGAAGGAGAGTGTAAGCCGCTCTGAGTGAAGGGAGGGGTATACATCCAACTTCTCTTCTTCAACAAAAGGATAAGTTGAAATAAATTTTTCCAGAGAAAAACCTCAACTGAACCGAGGACCACTACTTTTGTACATGAAATATACTTATTTAAGTGTTGCTCATATGTTGATGTGAAAAGAAACCTGTTTTCTCTATATACCTTGGTCATAATTCCTGGGAGTTTCTGATTCCGATGGGTTGGTCTTAATGAACTCTTTGCTGTATATGAAGAACGTAATCATGGATCGCTTACCAAGTGAGTGAGATCTCCTTTCTTACACGGATGTTCAAAAAGAGATGAATAGAAGGTGCTTTCATGGTCTTAGTCCCTGGATATTCATACTGGCTTCTTAAGATGCTACAGATTTGATATCCAAGTACCATTGGATGACGAAACTATTCTACAATGCTAGGGCCAGAAAATCCACAAGAAAGAATGTGAGAAAGGGTAATTTACATCTTCCTAAAACAACTTTTCACAATTCCAGATATTCGGAATATAACCATTTAGGGCAATGACTATGGTGTTTGTTTATGGGGAAGGAGATGAAGAGGGAAGGCTGGCACAAGAAAATGGCCAAGGAGGAACAGAGACCGATTAGATGGGAGCAGATAGTCAGTAGTGGCATTGCAGACTTGAACCCCGTAATTGGACCACCTGCTCCCATACAGGCCTACCTGTACAGGCCCATTTGGTGTGTACCCACCTTCTTATGTAAGGTGGGTATCCACAACGGACAGGGTCTTTTCTGCATAGGCACCATGGCTCTGGAGCTTCTTCCCTACATCTACGTGCTGGAAGGGGTCAGAGAACGAGAGAAGCTCGGCCACCTTCCAGCTTGTGCCTCATCCCAAAGGTGGCAGTCAGTGGGGCTAGGAGGAATAACCCCTCTCCGACACTGGTGTTGTGCAATGCCAGGTCCATAAACAATAAGACCGCAATTCTGTGAGACTTCCTTCTGGAGCAAAATGTGGACCTGGCTCGCATGACGAAAACCTGGGTCCAAGAGGAGGAGACCGTAGCGCTCTCCCAATTGGCTCCACCTGGGTTCTCTGTCCTCCACCAGTCACGGACTAAGGGGCGGGGGGAGGAGTGGCTCTATTCATACGGGAGGCTTACTCCTTCAGGGCGCTTCCGCTGTTGAGGCTCACAGGCATACAGTGTGCTGGCTTTGTGTGGGATGTGGAGGAGAGTTTGGCTATCTGGTTACCGACCGCCCAACGCACCGGCTGATGGCCTGTCATCCCTGGTGGAGGCCGTGTCTGGCTGGGCATTGGAGTACCCTCGACTGATAGTCTTGGGTGACTTCAATGTCCATGCCGACGACGCGGCCTCTCCAATGGTGATGGACCTGGTGTCATCCATGGCGGCGCTGGGACTCTCCCAATATGTAACAGCTCCCACTCACAGAGCTGGTCACATGCTTGATTTGATCTTTGCAGCGGGGGGTACAGTGGACCGGCCGGATTACTGCTATGGCAGTTCCATGGTCGGACCACCATGTCCTGAAGGCCTGTGTGAATGTGGCACCCTGACGCTATTTGGGCGGCAAGCATATTTTGGCTTGCCCGCGGAGCCAAGTGAGCCCTCAGTGACTTCAGATGGCTCTACGGGATCCTATGCCCCCTGACAGCTCATTAGATGAGCTAGTCGAGGACTGGCATGACCGACTCTTGTCTTCCATCAACGAGATCGCCCCCCGACACCCTCTGCACCCTTGCTCTAAGCGGGCTTCTTGGTTTACCAAGGAGCTTCGGCTGATGAAACGAGGGCTCAGATGACTAGAGAGATTGTGGCGGTGCGCTCGCAATGGAGCAACAAGAGCATCCTATAGGACGTTTATGAGATGGCAGTCAAAGCCGCGAAGAGAGAGTTCTATGTGGCTACGGTTGCATCTGCTAGCTCACGCCCGGCACAATTGTTTAGAACTATTTGGTCATTAACAGAGCTGCCCCAGGGCAGGTCAAATGATAAGGAATTGGACATTGGCTGTGAGGCTTTTGCAAGCTATTTTGCAGATAAAGTCTTGCTGCTCCACTGCAATCTCCCTGCACAGTTGAGACAGTGAGCAAACTCGAGGCCCCATGCGCGTCTTCTATTTCCATTCTGGATTATTTCAGTCCACTCAGCCTTGAGGAATTCGACAGATTGCTTTCAACGGTACATCCAACCACGTGCAGCCTTGATCCGTGCCCTTCATGGCTTATAAAAGCTGGCCGTGAGGGGCTGCGAGATGCCCTTAGGGATATTATCAACAAGTCCTTCGCTGAGGGGCTGTTCCCAGGGGCACTCAAGGAAGCGATAGTTCGCCCTCTCCGTCCGCCCTCTCCTGAAAAAAACCATCCTTGGACCCGGCAGAATTGGCCAACTATCGGCCGCTTTCCAATTTGCCCTATTTGGGCAAATTACCTGAGAGAGCGGCAGCGTTTTATGGATGACACTTCCATGCTAAACCCGTTCCAGTCCAGCTTCTGGCCAGGCCATGGGACGGAGATGGCACTGATCGCCCTCACAGATGACCTCCAGAGGCATCAGGATCAAGGCAGTACGGTGGCACTGGTGTTGTTGGACCTGTGGGCAGCGTTCAACATGGTTGACCACCAGTTGCTGATCCACTGCCTCACCAACACTGGTATTCAGGGGCCTGCCTTACAATGGCTCGTCTCCTTTCTCCAAGGTCGGGGACAGAGGATGGCAGGGAGTAGATGTCCCAGAGGTACCCGCTGGTCTGCGGGGTCCCTCAAGGGGCGGTGCTATCCTTGATGTTATTTAACATCTACATGTGCCCCCTTGCCCAGATAGCCTGGAGGCACAGGCTTGAGTGTCATCAATATGCTGATGACACCCAGTTATCTGTCATTGGATGGGCACCCAGATTCTATCCGGCATAACCTGGCTGTGGGCTTGAAGGCTGTGGTTGGTTGGTTGAAACAGAGCAGGTTGAAACTGAATCCAATTAAGACGGAGGTTCTGTGGCTGGGGAAAGGGGCTTCAGGGACTGGCACCCTCTTCAGTTTTTCATGCCCATTTTGACCTCTTTCCCCATGTGCAAAGTGGGTGGCAGTCTGTAATAGGGGAATAATTAATTCTAAGGATCACTAGTTATTATCTTTTTTTAAAATGTAATTTAATATGTTCAGTTGTTTTATCAGCAGCCAGGCTGTTGATGGACCTCTCTATTTCAGAGCACATCTAGCCTGTGCTGAGGGAGCTGCACTGGCTGCCAATAGCATACTGGATTCGCTTCAAGGTGCTGTTTTTGACCTTTAAAGCCCTATATGGCCAGGGGCCTGCCTACCTGAGGGCCCGCCTTTTCCCCACACATCCCCCAGAAAGCAGTGAGGTTGGAGACTTTAAATCGCCTGACTGTCCCTGGCCCCAAGGATGCCAGACTGGCTATTACCACAACCAGGGCCTTCTCAGTGGCGGCTCCACACTGGTGGAATGAGCTCCTGGAGGACATCAAGGCCCTGCGGGACCTTCTACAGTTCTGCAGGGCCTGTAAAACGGAGCTCTTCCACCAGGCCTTCGATTAGGAGCCACCACTGAATGAGCTCTGAACATGTATTACTGGCACTTTCTTTGGGATAGTCATATGGGGCCAACTGCAGCTATCACCATCTGCACTTTATTGTTTGTATGTAAACTGCACTTTATATTTTATTGCTGAATTTTATCTGTTTTTATTGTAAGTTATTATTGTACACCGCCTTGAGCCTGCTTGTCAGGCAAGGCGGGATAGATATTGAAATAAATAAATAAATAAATGTAGGTATCTTGTTGATGTGTGGCTTCATAGCATTTCTCTTGTATTTTGACATCCTTGCTGTGGCTTTTGAAATTATTTTTATTGGTTTTACTGTTGATGCTTTATCAACCCATACACCTGCTGCTTGTTACCGTTGTTATTAGGGGTTCTTTTAAAGATCTTTAATGATGTCATGTTTAATTTTTGTGTCAGGGTTTATATGTCTTCGCAGAGATCACTGGTGGAGAGTGAGGTATAATTGCCTTAGAAAGGTAAAGAAACTAATGTTTTTAGCATCCTTTGAAAATCTTAATACTTGGGAGCATTATATAGGCAGGAAGTGCTGAGAAGCATTATTTCTCCCTGAATTCCAATGGTGTGGGGTGCCTCGTTCCATAATTATGCATTGGAAAAGTAATAATAACCCCTCTAACACAGCATCGCAGATTTTCCTTCACTTGGATTGAAAAACATACTTTATTGCAGATGGTTATTCTTTTTTTTGAAAAGACGCAGCTCATCGATGACTTGATGTCTAAGATGCATCCTTTCAGACACCCCAAATTGCTCTTCCTTACCATCTAGTAATAATAAAGATCTAACAATTGGACAAGAGGACATGCAACAAGAGGAAGATGCTGGTAGAAACACAGGGATGGAGGGTGCTTTAGCAGGCATGGCAACGGTGGTCAGTAGCAAGTGGAGGTCATGTCGGAGAGCACAAGGGAGACATTGACAAAGGTGGGTTTACCCGTGTTCTTGTCGACAGTCTTCTGAATTGTCTGGAGGGGAAGCGCCTCATGTCCCACCACGCAAGTGTAAGTGTCTCCATTACTCCAGTCCTGCTCGTTGATGTTCAACATGCTATAGGTAAAGTACCGCTCGGGGGACTTGGATTCCTGTACGGGATTGCTGGTGAAGTACCCAACTTCTATGAGCTCATTATTTCGGAGCCATTTTACAAAGGCGTCTTTGGGGTAGAAACTTTTCAGCAGACAACTGACGGTGGCTGTTTCCCGCAAAGCCAGTTCTTCCGGGGTTGGGGGGTGGACATAGACAGCTGGAGGACTGGGAGTACCTCCTGGAAGGTGAAAAGAAGAAAGGATTAGTCAGCTAAATGGACTAAACTAGAGTTTTAATGTAGTTATATGTGAGGGAAATAAATGATGATTCAGTGGACATTTTGTAACCATTCTGTGGAGCATGCCAGGCTGAAAGGCCTTCACCTCTTTTGGGAACAATAGAAAATGGGCACTTACCATGAAGCTTTGTCAGTGTTGTTGTTTTAGCTGTGGGAAGAAGTGGATGCGTAACTTTGCACTCAAAGGTATCCTCGCTTTCCCACTCCTCTTTGCAAATGGTGGCTGTTGCATCCACAAAAAATGTGTCACTGTTTTCTTGCTTCTTAGCTTCTCCAATTATGGTCTCCAGCTCCTTCTTGTCAGATGCTCTTGTCCACGTGACATTCAGTTCTTGCTGATCCTCCATGTAGGGGAGGTTGGAGATTCTGCAGGTCAGCTTGGCTGACTTGGTCAGGAAAATATCAATGAAGGATGGTGGGATGGTCTCCACATGGACCTCCACAGGGTCACAGCCTGAGAAAAGTGAAAACAATGTTCAATTCCACAGTGAATGAGAACATGCACATCTGTGCTTTTGATACTCTGATAATGCTTATTACCAAACATATATCCACTTCAAATAATCAACATACATAGGAGTATGTGACTAATATTAAATACATTAATCAAGACTCTAGCTTTTAGCTGTATAGTGGGAAGCAGTTATTATGTATTTTATTGAGTCTATTATAACTATTTACAGTTTTATGAATTGAATGTTTTTACAGATGATGTTACCCGATCAGTTTTTCTAAGGGTTTTTTCTTTTGAGTACTTCATCAGCATGAATCTAAGAATTCCCTGAGTGATCCTTTGCCCATATAAATATATATAACATACAAACTTCAAATGATCAGTCATGATGAAGAAATGGAATTAACTGAAACCTGCAGTAAACATCACATGTTCATTTTCAGATTTATGTTTAGGTGTTTTAGCTCTAGATATTTTAATTTAAATTGATAGGTTGTGAAGACTGATCCCGAACAGGAATTTATGAATTTGTGAACATTCATATCCCCAAAAAGCTCTCCAGAAGTGAAATCTCACCCCCATATTGAAGGTTCATGTCCAATAGGATCCATGGCATGGGATATTACAACTTACCGGAGTTGCTTATGTTCTGAATGTTGCTGAACATCTCATTATGCACCCTGCAGGAGAATATTTTCCCAGTGCTCCAGTCTTTCTTACTGACTGTGAGCTCACTGAAGATGCTGTAGCCACTAGAACCCACAGAGAGTGGTCCAGTGGTGGTGAAGCCAGAGTCAAGTATGTTTCCGTCCTTAAACCACTGGATGGTAGTGCTTGCAGTATGCAGGTGCGCAGCCATGCAGGAAATGGTGGCATTTACGTCAGGGCTGTCAACATCTATTTGTCGTGGTGCATGGATGACCATCTTTGGGAGTTGTGAGGCTTAAGGAGGAAAGAAAATAGCAAGAAGGAAGGAAGAATTTACTATAAACGGATCTAATACTCTAAAGGAAATATAGCTAGTGACATTTATGTGGAGAGATTTACGGATCCAGATTATCCAGGAATCCATCTGTATTAAATTTATTAGACTGCCTTCCAGGATTTTGTTTACCTAATCCATTACCAGGAAACATTTTATTTTAATCAATGTAATTCAGAACTTCATTTGAACTAGATCCATCAGAGGCAAAACAAATGGAAGAATGATACAGAAGAGAGTCCTACCGAGTGTCTGTGGAACATATTCCCTTTGTTACGGAGAACATGAACTGATGAAGCTGCCATATATTTATGCTTGGTCCAACTTGTTAGTTATTGTTTACACCGACTGGCAGCAGTTATGCAGGTTCTTGGGCCAAGAAATGAAAAAAAACCCTACACTTTTTAACTGGATATTCTTGCAAAAGTGCCAGGGACTGAACCTTGGATGTTTGCATTGCAAGGCACTTGCCGTATCTGCTGAGCTTTTCCTAGAGAAACCACAATTCCATTCACTCACATCTGTGACTAGGGGATAGGCTTCCATGACAGAAGGTGAAGCTTCCAGCCAGACTTTAGCCTCATGTTTCTCTCTCTTTCTCTGTAGATGAAGCTAAAGCTTAGGTCTGAGCTGGACTTCAGTAACTGTTCATTGAAGGGACAGTGCTGTAGTGATTTAGGGACTGGTTAGACTGGGATGTAAGCTGTAGTTCTTTCTAGAACCTGTTGCCTATGCAAATCCATGCCCGGACCGGCATTTAAAAACATTTGTAACTACCTTGTGGTATCAATTAATTTAGGAGGAATATAAATGTTTCAATTAACAATAATAAAAAATAAACCAGTTGACATCTAATGCTGCAACTACAGCACTTTCTGACTCCTTGCTTCCAGTCTTTTCAAAATTGTCCCTAGTGTTCTGGGTTTGTTTTTTTTTTGGGGGGGGGGTGTTGCTGGTTGAAGCAGGGAAACCAAATACATTCACTTACCCTGGTGAATGACCCGTGCCGCTCCAACCACACTCTCGGCCTTGCAATAGAGAGGTTTAGAATTCTCCCAGTCGCCAGCAGGTATGGTCACCTGGGAGCTTGCGGTGAAAGTCCCAGCAGAATTTTTGATAGTAGGATATTGTTTAATGTAACTTGCATTGATGCTGGCATTGTTGTGGTCCTCCCAGGTGAACCTGACCAAGGCGGGTGGAACATCCTTGGCTAAGCATCCGATGGAGACGAGTCCGTTGCTTGGGGTGTTCTCACAGGGTAAAATGAGAGGGAAAAGAGAAGGACCACTCTGAGTAGCTGTGGGAGATGGGGGAAAAATAACACAAGCACGGAGAGTTTTATAAGTTGTTAGATCTTCAACTGCCACTGGATAGCCATAAATAGAAACCTGACCTGAATTTCCCCAACATTCGCATAATTTTCTTCCTGGCATGAATTAAGCTGATGTTCAATGTTGAGCTTGTCAGATATGGTGCTTTCCTCTGAGATTTTTCCTGAGTTCAGCTTGGTTGAAAGCCATGCATGAACTGGAAGGCATTCCGGTAATGCCCCGGCCTGGGCCCATATCACAATGAAAGTGTGTGCAGTGGTGGGGCCATTTGGTTACACACCCAACAATGTGCTGTGAAGCAGAAACTTTGTTTCAGAACATTTAGGGAGATTCCACTTCCTGGGAGTTGCACAGATCCCAGCTGTGTGCTGGTCTCTTGGAGGGGAGCAGCTAAGACCTGTTGTTTGAGCCAGTCCTTCAGAATTAATATTGAGCGAGGAAAAGGAAAGAGGTTTGGGAGCTTGTGAACAGGGCGACTATAAAGAGGTCACAGAGATCAGCGGTGTGGACCTTCATTGGGTAAATCTTGGTGGAATGTGCTGTCAAGTCACAGCCAATTTATGGTGATCCCATAAGATCCTAGAATCACTGAGTTGGAAGGGGCCATACAGGCCATCTAGTCTCACCCCCTGCTCAATGCAGGATCAGCCTAGAGCTTCCCTGACAAGAGTGTCCAGCCGCTGCTTAAAGACTGCCAGAGAGGGGGAGCTCACCACCCCACTAGGCAGCTGATTCCACTGTTGCACAACTCTTGCTCTAAAAAAGTTTTTCCTACTATCCAGCTGGTACCTTCCCGCCCTTAATTTAAACCCATTATTGTGAGTCCTCTCCTCTGCTGCCAACAGGAACAGCTCCTTGCCCTCCTCTAAGTGAAAGCCCTTCAAATACTTCAAGAGAGCAATCCCCGCCCCTCAACCTCGTCTTCTCCAGACTGAACATTCCCAAGTCCCTCAGCCTTTTCTCATAGGGCTTGGTCTCCAGGCCCCCGATCATCCTCATCACTCTCCTCTACACCTGCTCCATTCTGTCCACATTCTTTTGAAGTGAAGTGAGGTTTCCTTTGGAGAAAAAAAAAGATTTCAGTTGGTTGGAAGACCAACTGAAATCTTTTTCTTTCTCCAAAGGAAACCAATTTGTGCCTGCCGCCATTAAAGTTTTTAATACCAAAATTTTAGCCCAAGTTCTCTATGGTGTTCCTATATGGTTCAGTGCTTTTAACTGTGAAGTTGAATCAATTCAATCATCCTTTTTTAGACAAATTATGGGTCATTTGTAAGAATGTAAGTAGTGCCTGCTGGCTCCAAGCAGTGGTACATTTCATCTCACATACTGTTTCGTACACTGGCCCACTGAGGTGGCCAAACAAACAGGGCTCACAAACAGGCCAAGGGCCTCCCCTGCTCCTGCCTCCTAGAGATGGTATTCAGAGGTTTGCTGCCACTGTATATGCAGGCTCCCATCAGTCACCATGGCTAGTAGCTATTGATGAACCTCTCTTCTGTAAATCTGTCTAACTCCCTCCCACTGGCAGGGGACGGGGTGGGGAGGGGTTTCCAGCTCCAGGTTGAGAAACTCCTGTAGTTCTGGGAGTGGAGCCTGGGGAGGACAGGGACCTCAGTGGGTTAGAATGCCATAGAGTCCACCCTCCAAAGCAGCCATTTTCTCCAGGGGAACTGATCTCTGTAGTCTGGAGAGGAGTTCTAATTCCAGGAGATCCCCATGCCCTACCTGGAGGCTGGTGTAAGGTTGCCAGGTCCCCCGGGGGGCGGGGGTTTGCCCGCTTGACAGGCCCCTTACTCAAAGTGCTGGGATCATGGGGACGTGCCTGGTGCGATGACGTCACCCATTGTGTGTGTGGGGGAACGCTCTATCATTTGAGGGAAACTCTATGTTTCCCCCTCAAATGATAGTGGCCCTGTCCCCAATGTGCCCAACATGATGACATCACTTCCGGGTGATGTCATTGCCGAGGCTGTCCCAGAGAGGGGCCGGGACTCCCCCGCCAGAACAAAAGTAAGACCTGGCAACCATAGGCTGGCTCCTACTTGGAATCATAGAGTTGGAAGGGACCTGGACACTGCGGGAAATTCACAAATACCCCCCCCCCCACTCCCAGTGACCCCTGCTCCATGGCCAGAAGAGGGCAAAAAACCCTCCAAGATTCCTGGCCAAGCTGGCCTGGAGGAAATTGCTGCCTGACTCTAAAGTGGCAATCAGCGTTTCCCTGGGCATGTAAGAAAGGGCCATGAGAACTAAGCCCTGAGGCAACCTTTCCTGTCCTCCCTCTCATGATCTGCCTAAGTTCACAGAATCAGCATTGCTGTCAGATGGCAATATAGCATCAAAGAAGGAGAGCCCACCACCTCCCGAGGAAGCCCACTGAAGAACTGCTCTTATAGCTTTCTGTGCTCATGGCCATCACTACCTCCCCTGGCAGTTAATTACACAGTTTAATTACTCAGTGAGTAAAGAAGAATTTCCTTTTGTCTCTTCTGAAACTACTTCCCAACAATTTCAGTGGGTACCCCAAGTTCTAGTATCATGGGAGAGAGAAAAAGCTCCCTCTATCCATTTTCTTAACCCATGCATAATTTTATAAATCTCTATCATGTCTCTGGTTTCTTTTTTCTAGACTGGAAAGTACCAGACTCTCTGGCCTTTCCACATTGGAAGGGTGCTCTAGCCACCTAATCATCTTGGTTGAGAACTGCACACAGGAGCCCAAATGAGTCCACGCCACAGCTTTATACAAGGATATTACAATTTTGGCTGTTTTATTTTCAGTCCCTTTCCTAATAATGCCTACCATGTAGTTTTTCTTTTTCACTGTTGCGCATTAGGTTGAAATTTTCAACGAGCTTTCCACTACAACCCCAACGTTTCAGTCTAGTGGCTGTAGTGAAAATCTTGATGAACATAGCCCAGTGTGCAGCAGTGGTGAAAAACGCACACTCCTTTCTAGGAAAGGGATTGAAAATAAAATGGCCAGTATTATGAAACGAGCAGTATCTATGCTTGTAGTGATGGCTATAAGTATAGATAACTTTAAAAGGGGTTAGGCAGATTAATGGAGGACAGGTCCACCAATATCTACTAGCCCTGGTGAGTAAAGAGAACTTCCATAATTCAGAGGCAGTAAACCTCTGAAACCCTATACTAGAAGTCAACATTGGGAAAAACGATGCCCTGTCTGTTGGCTTTCTAGGGCAACTGATTGGTCACTGTGTAAAAGGATGCTGAACTAGATATCCAGCAGGGCACTTTTTATACGTATCTGCCTGTTGAGTTGCAGCTTTGAGAAGGTAGGGATAACTAATCCACCCCTCAGCCTTTTAAGCTCAGTGCTGATCTGGGAAATGCATACATTGGAGGTGATTGCTGAGCTCCAGAAATACTGGGAGGGTCTCACTACTGAACCTCTCCACTCCCTCCAAGGCTGCAGCTCACCAGAGAGCTATTCTCCCACATTGATGCATGGCTTAGGGAGACCAAGGAACATAATAAGAACATAAGAGATGCCAATATGCTGCCAAAGAAACATTTTTTAAAAAAATCTGCACAGCTTAGCAAATCGCCTGTGGCCAATGCTGGGCAAAATGCCCACTTGGCCTT